ACAGCGCCTCTGTCACTGGGTTTCATACATCAGAAAGCTGTTACATGTCTCCCCTACTGTGCAGTGGACTCCTTGAGGTCAGGGGCTGTGCCTGATGACCCCGAGGTCCTCAGCACCTTTCATAGCAAATAGTGCCTATTTCTCTTCCGTGAAGCCTGAAGTGGTGGGCTGGGAGTGGAACATGGTTAAGGAGGTCACCATATGATTTACTGTCCAAACTGGGACACTTTGAGAGTGAAATGGAACACTACTGACAACTATGCTAGGACACTATGCATGGGCCAGAACTGTCCTGGGGAAACTGGGATGTAGTCATCCTAATAAGCTGACCAGGGCAGGCAACCGTGGGTTTCTAGTCTAGTCTTACCCTTCATGTGTCCAACTTCCTTCCTGCGTATCCCTTATTTCCCATTCCTCTTCCCAGCCTTATTTTCTCTCTCCTTGCTCTGCAAGTCTCATACAAACTTGCTAAACCACAAAGCTACAGTTCTCATCCATCACTTCACAAGGTAATGTAAGGGCGAGAAGAGTCCAGGAATCCTGAGTGGAGTACACAGTATGTGGGGGCACAGTGGGAAGTGCCTTGAATGTAACTCTTGTGAGGGTTAATAGTTCAAGATTTTTTATTTCCCTCCTTGAGCCCTAGTGACTCCAAGAAAATGCTCAATCAGGATAAAGTCTTAGAATGATCCAAACTTGTCTTCTCTGGCTTCACCCTGAAATCCATAATGAACTGAAGGCAGCTTTAAGACATGTGATGCAGAGTTGGGCTGAATGGAATCACTGCATCATGCAAGACAGAAAAACTTGATTTGTTGGGAAAATGCTCTTGTGAGTCAATAGAAGCTATGTGCCATGATGATTAAAAGAGCAAGCATTTTAGAAACTGACAAATCTAGACTTGAATCCTGACTCCGTCACCTACTTAGCTGGGTGACTGTGAGCAAGTTACTTAACCTCTTTAACCTCAGTTAACTTATTTGTAAAATAAAGGATTGCATCAGACCTACTTTAGAGGCTCCCTGTGAGGATTAAATGAGATAATGCATTTAGCACCGTGCCAAGCACCTAATAAACACCAGCTCAGTGCAAGCTATTACATTATATGCACATTAGCAATTGTTGCAAAAGCACTCATTCTACCTATATGACAATAGTTATGTCAGGTTTGATGGTCAGAGCAGTGGGCTAAGAATGCAGGAATCCGAGTTCTTGCTATGCCTCTTTCCCCATTAAGCCACGTGGCTCTGAGTAAGTCATTTAACTTTGGTTTTTCAGTCTCCTCTGTGAAATGAGGGAACTGACGATGACTCCTGTCTCCTGTTTCAGTCACCTCTTGCTCTGTCACACGCCACTCCCAAACCTAGTGGCTTAAACCAATAATGATTCATTATTGCTCAGGATCCTGTGAATGATCTGGGCTCAGATGGGTAGTTCTTCTGCTCTATGTGGCATTGGCTGGGGTCACTCATGCAGCTGCTGTCAGCTGGGTGTTCTGCTGGAGCTGTACTATCCAGAACATTCTCGCTTGGTTGGCAGCTGTATTGGTTAGCTTTGGTTCTGTGTGAACTCATCCTCTGGGAGTGTGCTCTCCCTTCACAGCTCCTCCAGCAGGATGACCGAGACCTCTACCTGGCAGCCAGCTTCCAAGAAGCTGGCAAAAGTGGAAGCTTCAAAGTCTCTTAAGGCCTAGGTCAGAGGTCACACAGTGTTAATTTCACTGTAGAATGTTTGTCAGAGGAAGTCAGAAGCCAGGCAAGATTCAGAGGAGGAGAAAAGACTTCACCTCCTGAAGACTCTCAAAGTCCCATTATAATAGAGGATGCAGAATGAGAGGGCTTGTTGTGACTAGTTTTCAGAGCAATCACTGCCATGCCTATGTTCCATGCTGGTTCTGACAGTCCACATTTTAACCTAAAGCTCTAAGGCAATCCTACTTCTCAGTTTGGATTACGGACTCTCCGAATTCACCAGTGAGCTCTTAGTACGCGCCAGGATTTAAAACCCTCTCTGCTCTCAGTCTTGCCCCAATACAAATCCATTGTTTTTGCTACCCAGTGTCTTCTCAGCCTCCTCTTGGTAACCAAACACCCCAACTTCCCTCCAGGAACCTGGTGCAGGCACAGCTGGTTACAACCCAGTTGCCACCCCCTATTCTCCCTCATGAGTAGAACCCTAATTTGTCTAGATAGTTAGATGTTAGTGATCTCAGTCTGGGGACACAACCTTTTTAGAACTAAACATGTGACACAGTGCTGGCCAATGACACATCAAGGCAAGTGTCATGAGGGGGCTTCTGGAGAATGTTTTCTTTCTTGAACAAAAGAAGGAGACTTGTGAGAAGAAAATTCTGTCCCTTCCTTCCTACTTCAGGATCTTGTTGTGTGGAACCAGCTGTGGAACCCACCTGTGATCATGAGGGGTAAACCCATAGGACCACAGAAAAGCATCCAGACCCCTGACATTATTTAACTTCAGAATTATCCAACCGAGAAATGCCCACTACTAGATTTCTTGTTATGTGTAATAACAAGCCCCTATAGGTAAGAGAGTATGTTACCTACAGTCAAAAGCTTCCCTCCCCTACTCCACTGGTCTATATGGTTCTAATGATTCTGACTCCACCCTCAACTCCAGAAAAGAACACGTAACTCCAAAATAAGCGATTGTCACATGCATTAACCTCACCACAGTAGTCATTTCAAAGATAGCCCAGGGACTCTGAAAGAGCCAGTGAGGGACACTGCAGTTTTCCTTGGGACTTTGGGAAATAGGCATCCATTTTTTTTCTTGTTGACTTAAACCCTAACAGGGTGTAACAGCTAGAGCTGCTGTCTTTTCTGTTACTATCTCACTGACTTGAAGAGTCAACTCTGAGGGAGGAAGACTCAAGAGGAAATAGGAAAACTGATTCTTGGTAAGATCATTTGAGTCTTATATCCAGCCATGCCTGAAGCCCTAATCCTGCATTTTTCCCCCACTCTTTTTGCAATAAGCTGTCCTGATGGGACTTTTGTCATTGGCAAGGAAAAGACACCTACCTGAGGAAGTGTGGATAATCATTAAGAAATCATCCACCAAACTCCCACTTTGACCTGAGGGCATTCTCTGGAACTTTAATCTTAAACCTCAGTTCCTCATCTAAGCTCATTCACTCCTATAGATACATTTTCCACCACCTGTAAGTATATTGTCTAGCCATGAAGGGTAATGCCTTGGGACTAGGCCTGGCCCTGAGCTCAAATCCAGCTCAGCTACTGATTAGATCTGTGACCTTGGGCAGGTCTCTCAAACTTCTGTTTTCTTTAGCTTTAACATGTTTAAAATTAGAACTATAATAGTTTCTGCCTCCTAGGGTTATTGTGAGGATAGAAGCAGAGAATCCATGCAAAATGCTTAGCCAGCATAATGCCTGGCACAGAGGCTCCCACAAATTTTTATTAACGAAAAACCTAACCTAGCATGATAGACTGAGTAATAACCCCATGATGATGACCCTGTCCCAATCCTCAGCACCTGTGACTGTGTTACGTTTCATGACAAAGGGGAATTAAGGGTGCAGATCGAACTAAGGTTGCTAATCAGGTGCCCTAATAGGAGAGAGATTATCCTGGATTATTTAAGTGGGTCCAGTGTAATCACAAGGATTCTTGTTGGTAAGGAGGTAATTAGCTTTATCTACTTATTTTGATGGAGGCACTGGGGATTGAACCCTGGACCTTATGTATGCAAGGCATGCACTCTACCACCAAGCTATATCCTACACTCAAGGGTTCTTAAAAATAGAAGGAGACAGAAGAGTTAGTCAAAGTGATGTGATGTCAGAAAGACTCAGTCTGCTGTTTCTTGGAAGATGGAGGAATGGGGCTCTGCAGAGTCAAGGGATGTGGGCAGCCTCTGGAAGCTGGAAAAGGCCAGGAAGCAAGTCCTCTCCTGGAACCTTTGAAAAGGAATGCAGCCATGTTAACACCTTGACTTTAGCCAGTGAGACCTGCTACTGAGCAGCAGCAATCCTCTACATCCCCTCGTACCTGCTACCATAGGCTCAACAATGAATGAGAAACTCATGGCTCTACCCTCATGGAGTTTATGAGGTGTGTATTCTGTGGTACCCAGGGTTCATGAAATCCTATTTGGTAATAAGCATGAGATTTACCAGTGAGGATTAGAAGATGTGAGTCAAGGCAGCTACGTGGGACAGAGACCCATGGAGAGGGAAAGGAGCAGTGGAATATGGGTTCTTAATTGGAACAAAAGCTGAAACAGTAGATATTTAGAGCTCCATCTCAGATGAAAGTCTTAAGGTTACACTGGTCTGGTTAATCTGTATAGGAGGCTCAGTGAAGAGAGAGACATCAGGTTTGGTAGCAGGGGACTATGAGAAGGGGACGAGAGGCCTGAAAGCCACACCTTCTATATGCCGAGTGCTGATGGCATCAACCCACACCACAACTTTCCAGAGATGTTATTAGGCCCCTTTCACAGAGGAGAAATCAAGGCTCACAGAAATTAAATATTAATTAAATTAAGAAATTAAAGTATTAATGAAGAAACTTCACCAGTAAGTAAATGATGAAATGATATTTTTAAAAATTAATTAACTTTATTTTTTGCCAGCAAAGAACTGCAAATCTCCTATTTCCATGCAATGTTTACTTAGTTGTTTCAGTGTTCTTTGTACACTGTGCACCTCACACTATAAATTATTTGGTAGCCAGAACTGTCTGGGCTTATTTACTCGGAACAGAGCATCAGGAAGCTTAGTGCTTAAGACCATATTTCATCAAATCTTAGGTGCCATCAGTTGGAATATGCACCATCATTCCATATAGCACTAAGAAAGAAAACATGCCAGAAACTGTAACTTCTCAATCGAGAGATGTCAAAATGTGGGAAAATGTGCATCTCAGGGGTCCATAAAATAGAGTAAAAAAAATTTTTTTAATGATGATGTTGATGAAGTGTCAAATTCTAGTTGGCTGACCCACTCCCAGGCTTACCCATGGTTTAGGTTCCTTATATTTTAACCGAGACTGTTTAAAAATGTCTCAAGTAAATTCCCTTTGGACAATTCTTTTGGAAGTGTTTCATTGTTCAAAATATGGTATTATTTAAAAGTATCTCCACAAACATTAATAAGGAACTATATAATTTTTCTATGCTAGACATTGTGCTGAGTACATTAAATGCACTATCCCTCTTGATTGCACACAATCATCTTATGAACAGTTGGGTTTTTTTTTTTATTGCCATTTGCAGACGAGACGATTGAGGTGCAAAGTTTATTTCCTCATCCAAGAACACCCAGCTAGCAAATAGCAGAGAGGAGACTCCAGTTCCTGCCCGGGGCTTCAATGTTTGTGTCCTTAACGGCTGTTTCTCATCTGGCAAAAAGCTTGAGGGGAACTTCTATTTTTCTCTATAAAAAAATTCCACGGGGATGGCAAGTGAGTAAAGCTCAGTGGTAGAGCTCATGCTTAGCATGCACGAGGTCCTGGGTTCAATGCCCAGGACCTCTACTGAAAAAATAAAATTCCATGACCATCACCCTTTGCTTCAAAAATTAATGTCTGCTTCTTCTCAGTCGTTCCGAGCTGATTACCCAGTTATCTCTCCAATAAGAGCTTTTACCTCCCAGTACACATTTGTTCTTGTTCTCTTACAAATTTGTCTCCAGAATTTTAATCATTCTTGGCTCACTTCTCTGACAACCTTACCAAAGACATGTGCTGGAATCGCAGAAAAGTGCCCTGAAAAATTAAAAAAAACCACACAACTTTTAGAGTGTATCTAATCTACACAGGAAATTAGAAAACACCACATACTCAACTTAATGGAAAAATACTCGAAATGAAATGAAAAGTGAGGTTTACTGTTATTTAGATTTTGATTAAAAAATGTTTATCCTTTATCTAAGGCTCGGGGACACTGGAAATGAAGGAACTGAAAGCTTGCTTTATAGAACTTTAATGATCTTCTCTTCTTCTGTTATATTACCGTTTCCTAAGCCTGTGGTCAAATACAATAGCTTTATTAAAGCTGTGATTCAGTTAGAAAGGGGAATGAATTCTTCTGCCACAGGAGTTCTGGTGAGAGATGAGAGATGATAGGGCTGTGGAGGGAAAGAAAACTTAACAAAGAAACGGCTCACCCCACCAGGATATGTGCTCCTTGCTAGGAGCCAAACTTCCCCGAATCCACTGCTCAACAGCCCAGGGGTACTTAGCTTCTAGTTCATCGAGGGAAGGAAAACAAAACAAAACAGAAAGGAGGTCTGGGGTGGCAGTTTGAACATGAGATAAAGCTGCTTGAGTTCTTTTTTTTTTAATTGAAGTATAGTCAGTTATAATGTATCAATTTCTGGTGTACAGCATAATGTTTCAGTCATACATATACATATATTCATTTTCATATTCTTTTTTATTATAGGTTTCTACAAGATATTGAATATAGCTCTTTGTACTATACAGTAGAAAATTGTTGTTTATATATTTTATATATAGTAGTTAGTATCTGCAAATCCCAAACTCTCCATTTATCCCCTCCCACCCTCTTTCCCCCCAATAACCATAAGTTTGTTTATTATATCTGTGGGTCTGTTTCTGTTTTGTAGATAAGTTCACTGGTATCTTCTTTTTTCCTTTTTTCTTTCTTTTTTTTCTTTTCTTTCTTTCTTTTCTTTTTTTAGTATTCCACATGTAAGTGATATCATATGGTGTTTTTCTTTCTCTTTCTAGCTCAGTTTCCTTAGGATGATGATCTCCAGGTTCATCTATGTTGCTGCAAGTGGCATTATTTTATTCTATTTTATGGCTGAGTAGTTTTCCATTGTACAAATATACCACAACTTCTTTATTCAGTCCTCTGTCAATGGACATTTAGGTTGTTTCCATGTCTTGGCTATTGTATATAGTAAAGCTGCTTGTCTTCTGTATAAAGCTCTTACCTATGTGGCATCAAAAATGATTCACATCACATTTATCCAACATTCACTATGGGCCAGGCACTTCTCAAAGCACACGCATTTGTTGTATCATCTAATCCCCTCAACAACTCCATAAGATGGGTACTATTATCATTCACATTTTAAAGGGGAGTAAACAGGCAGAGAAAGGAACTTACTACCTAAGTTCACACAGTCAGGGGTGGGGCCAGGATTTGAAGAGATATTTGACTCCAGAGCCCAGACATGCACTTGGCCATGACACTACATTGCTAAATATCTGCCTGCTTTTGCCGGTAGGCTGTGCACCCTAGAGGCCAGCTAGGCAGGGAGGTGGTGGTGGGGCACTCTAAAAGAACCAGTCACCTCCATACAGCCTGAGACAAGAGGGATTTGGAAGAAAATTGGTATGGGGCCTCCTGACCAAAGCAGTGCTGGCTCCCTTTGAAGGGAAAGAAATGAAGCAATTTCAAAGAGTCAGGGGAGGCCAGAGGTCAAGATAAAGCCACAGTGGCTAAGCGACGATGGAGAAATGCAAACTGTCATTGTCAAAGTGACAGAATATCAGGACACGTTCAAAACAACCTCATTTAATTATTATGGAAATCAACTGTTGCTATTTCTGAGACATTTTTGCCAGCCGTGTGAGGGGCATATGACATCATAAACAATTACTGACAAAACAGAGGAGCAGAAACTGAGACTTGGGGCGACTGTATAACCTTGGCCAAGTTAACCTCTCTGAGCTTCAGTACCCTCATTTGTAAAGTGGAGATATTAATAGTGTCTACCTCTTAGCATTCTTGCAAGGATTAAAAGATGATAATGTAGGCAAAGTGCTTGGTACCAAGCACTGGGCACAGATAGTGCCTAAAATACATGAATGCTCCCTTCCACTTTCCTGTCAATTTCATCTGCTATAAGACTGAGTCCCACCTGTCTGGAGGGAAGTGCATTATTTACCCACGTTTGAATACCAACAAATATTTATTGAGTGTCTTCTGTGTCCCAGGGAGGGTTCTGGGTGCTAGAGATACAGAAGTACTCTTTTTGGATCTGGTTTTTGCAAAAAAACCAGGAGGTATCTTCTGACTCCCAGAATATATTAGGGCTTCTGCAACATACTCCCAATATACCCTATACTGCCCCCTTTTTACTTACCATTTGCAATCCTGACTCTCACCAGCCTCGCCAAGGAAGGGACAGTTAGTGCTATAAGGATGAATGTTAGTTGACTGAGGGGCAGGGGCACCAAGGAGGAAGAGGCTCCCAGGTCAAGGAAGGGCTGGGGTGATGTCTCAAAGTCAGTGCAGAATGAGACGTGTCAAAGAACTGAGAGCCAGAGTGGTCCAAATTGGCTGGAACTCAGAAAGCACGGGATGATTGGTAAAGTCAGAGAGAGAAGCGGATGGGGAATTACAGAGATTTCACAGTCCCGTTGTGGGAGCCAGCACCTCAGGTGAGGAGGACCAGAGATTAGCAGCAGCCTCGAAGCACTGTTACAGTCTAGACATTACACCCTGGTGGCAGAATCCTCCGGGTGTGTGTTTATATAGTTCTACCTAGTCAGGGGTTCAGTCAGGGAAAACAAAGGCCACTCAATATATTCCCAGACTGAAGAGTTATAATACAGGGAATTAAAGTTTTACATAACTGAGGGGAATGGAGACAGGATGTGGAGCACAGGTCAGAGAAGCAGCTGGTGAGGTGCAAGACACACTGCCCCCAAATATGGCGCCTTGGCTTATTGAAGGAATTTGAGAAAACAGCAAAGCAGGAAGGGCATCTGACCTCCCTTGCTCTTCTTCCTTGAAACAGATCAGAAAACTCCAGGTGGAAGGAACCCTCCCTGTACCAGGAGTCTTATCACCAGAGATGGAGAATTATCACCAAGAAATCTACACAAATAAACCATGTTAAACTCACCCTTATCTTCCCAGAAGGTACTTCGTCACCATTTACCACCCCTAGCCCAGACTCCTCTGTCTTGCCAATTCTTCGCAAATGTATTGTTTCCTTGTCTAAAAGATACAAAACCTTCCTGCTCTGGTCACTTATTCCAGTCTTCACTCTCTTATGAAGGCACCAATGCCCATGTGAAAAATCAGTCCAATGTGTGTGCTTTCTCCTGTGAATCTGTCTTTGTCAGTTTAACTTTCAGACCCAGTCAAGGACCCTTTGAGGGTTTAGGAAGACGTTGTCTTCCCCTCCACCGTCTCTGGCCATCTGGTCTGACTGCCCAAAGCAGGGGATTCTCTGAGGTCTGCCTACAGATCGCAGTCTGCAAGTCTGCTCACACTATCTGGGCGAGTGGGGGTGGGAGTGGGGGACGGCTTCTCCTACCTTCCTCTCCTGTCTTCCAAATACCTCCTTGAGGGCTTCTCATTGGCTGTCCTGAACCTGGAACCATGCAGGGAAGGGGGTCTGGCTTCTCCGTGAAGTGCAGATAGCATAAGAAAACATCACACTGTATAAGAGATACACTGTGTTTTGATCAAATCGAAGACACAATTATTTTACGTGCCACTAAAAAAGGTAAAATGCTGCCAATTACACGGGCACAGGCTTTCTGCCATCTTGTTAGGCACATCCTCATTTCAAAGACATAAAAATGTGTTTGTGTTTGGAAGGGGAGTGTCTCTTATAATTGATTTTTTTTAATGATTTAAAGAAAAGTTAATAACCACTGGCTGTTTTGAACTCTTAATTTTGAAAAGAACGTGCATCTTAGGGACATAGAGGCAGTGCTACAGCCCGACTCACTGTCAGGACTTAGAATCCCCTCTGGGTGGGAGCAGAACGGCTTGCCTCACTCCTGCCCTGCATGGACCACCTTGACTGGCCTCTCAGTCTCCCCCAAAGAGATCCTGAGGAAACTGCAGATTCAAACAGAACCAAGAGAGTTAAAGGCCTCTGCTAACTTCAAGGCCAACCGGAAGGGTACTTTTAAACTTTTTATCTTTTGTGAAATATACCACACAAACAAAAAAGTGGATCAAACCACTACATAGTCACTAAATGGAACACTGCTAGCATCCGCAGAAATGCCTCCTCGCACGCG